GCAGGTCCCTTGACCTTGCTCTTGTCCTTATGGCAAGCACAACTTTCAGGAGAATCTGAATTACTCTTCTTCACTTCTCAAACACTTCTTCTGCCTTGTTGACCCACACAATATATCGTAGACGTTCAGAGGCATCACCCATTCTCAGTAGAGCTTGGATAGCCCATGGTAGATGGTAGGGCTGTGTGTCCACCCCGGGGCAGTCGATGCCAGGTGTATTGGGCACCTCACCATGTGAAAGCAAACCATGATCTGCACTCTGCTGCCAAAGGGATTGAGAAGAATGCATTGGCAATGTCACCTGTAGCATAGGACTTGGATGCCTTCAATTCCAGATCATCCTGGAGTCCTACCATGTCTGATTTGACTGCACTCAGAGGTGGCATCACTTCAGTCAAGCCATGAGAGCCTGCTGTTAACCTCCACTCTCCATCTGACCTTTGCACTGGTCATGTGGGACTGTGAAAGGGTGAGTGAGTCTTGCTGATCACTCCTTGGCTCTCCAGTTGGTGAATCAGCTCATGGGTGGGAGCCAGGGAGTCTGGGTTTGTGTGGTGTTACCACCAGTGGTAACATTGCTGCTGTCCTGGTAGCAACTGGCACTTGCTGCTCTTCAACTTGCAGCAATGGGCTGCAAGATGAAGAGCAGCAAGTGCCAGTTGTTGCTCTTCTGGGAGGCCAGGTGTCGTGGTTTAACCCCAGCCAGCAGCCAAGAACCACACAGCCTCTCACTCACTCCCCCACCAATGGGATGGGGGAGCGAATCAGAAGGGTAAAAGCTACAAAAACTCATGGGTTGAGATAAAGACAGTTTAATAGAGAAAGCAAAAGCTGCACACACAAGCATAGCAAAACAAGGAATTAATTCACTGCTTCCTGAAGACAGGAGGTGTTCAGCACCTCCAGGAGAGCAGGGCCCATCACACAGAATGGTGACTTGAGAAGACAAACACCATCACTCCAAATGTCCTCCCCTTCCTCCTTCTTCCTCCCACCTTATATACTGAGCATGATGTCATATGGTATGGAATATCCCTTTGGTCAGTTCGGGTCACCTGTCCCAGCTGTGTCTCCTCCCAGTCTCCCATGCATCCCCAACTTCCTTGCCAGCCTGGCAGCACGGAAAGCAGCAAAGGCCTTGGCTCTGTGTAAGTTCTGCTCAGCAATAGCAAAAACATCTCTGCATTATCAACTCTGTGTTATGCACAAAACCCAAACATAGCCTCATACTAGCCTCTATGAAGAAAGGTAACTCTACTCCAGCTCAAACCAGCACACCAGGAAGGCCTGACAGCTGCTTGATCTTCTCTGCATTCACTGTGGATGCACCACTGGTACCCCTTCGGGTCCTTGCAGTGCCCTCTCCTGAGGCTGGCAATGCCAAGGACACAGGGACCCATGGGCCAGTCACAATGGGGTAGTTTTCCCTCTTGTCCCCTATGAAACTTCCTTCAGCCTCCAACACAGACAACTCTTGGCATTCCCCTGTCACCCTGGAGATCCAGGTGGGTCCTGTGCCCTTGTACCCCCATGACATCAGCATAAACTATGCACCAGTGTCTACCAAAGCCTTGAATACTACTGCGGGGCTGATGTGCCAGGCCATCAAATCCAATGTAGCCAGTCATCCCTTTCCCCCTCCTGGCTGGAGGCAGGGACCCTCTATTCTTGTTCCTGATCAGAGTATTCACTGTCTGACCCTTGCAGAGCCAGACCAGAAGTTCCCTCACCAGGACCAAGGGAGGTGATTCCAACTCTTCTATGTCTGGGAGGTTGCTGATTCCCTTCTGGTGCCTGCAGCACCTGTGCTGACAGTCTTCTTGGGTGGCTCCTTCCTCACAGCTCCCTTCCGTCTCAGCTCACGGACACGAGCTTCCAGCTTGAAGGTGGGTTCTCCATCCCACTTCCTCATGTCTTCTCCCTGGTCACAGAGGAAGAACCAGAGTGCTCCACGTGACATGTGTCTGAGGCTCTGCCCTCTGACCAGGGCAGGAAAGCATTGATTTCTCAGGCTGCCCCTGGCAGATGAGGTGCTGGTCCCTAGGGATGAGGAGGTGCGAAGATTTTCTTCCAAGCTTCGGAGCCAGCAGGACACTCTCTCTACAGTCGGTGTATTCATTTCTGGGGAATACATGCCTGCCAAGCTGCTGGAATATGATGCAGGAGCACTTTGAATCACCTTCCTCCACATGGCCTGTGTGCAAGGGACATCCTCTGGATCTTTGGAGACATTATCATTTTCCAGATCACTATAGATGACCTCCAGCACTGCTAATTCCCTCAGGCACTGGATACCTTCACCTGCAGTGCTCCACTTCCCTGGGGAGTTCCCAAGTTCTTCCTTGAACGGATACCTTGCCCTCACACTTGAGAGGAGCCGTCTCCAGAGACTGCACACTGCTGCCTCTTTTCCGATGCCTCTTCCAATCTCCTGGTCTCTAGTAAGGGCTCCCAGCTGTTGGGCTTCCCTCCCGTCCAGCAGCTGGCTGTCAGCCCCGCGGTCCCAGCAGCGGAGGAGCCAGGCACAGATCTGCTCCCCTGGCCGGCGGCTGTAATCTCGTTGCAACCCTTGCAGCTCTGGTGAGGTCAGGGACTGGGGAACTTTGGTTTCCTCTTGGAATTCTCTCGCTCCTCCCTCCAATCCCTTCATTGCAGGACTGGCTTCCCGATCAGACCTTTCCTTTCCCGGTTCTTCTTCTTCTCCCTCTTCTTCTTCCTCCCTTTCTAACTGACAATATGGAGCTGCACTCCTTGCCCACCTTTTCTCTTTCATGACAGGGACAGTCATTGTAGTTGTTTTTTGGGTCTCTATCTCGACCACAGTGTCCTCACCTGCAGTTTGGGTCCCTGACTCAACCACAGTCCCCTGAGGGTGCTGAAATGTGGCTCGATAGGCACAGGCCAGGCCCCAGCACAGGGCTGGAAGCTGCTGGTTTTCATTGGGCTGGACAAGGCACCTTTCCATCAGGTGATGTGTCAGTTTACCAGGGTCGATCACCTGCTCAGGTGTAAAGTCCCAGGCCATGGGAGATGAGAACCGCCCTAGGAACTTGCCCAAATCCTCCCACACCCCCTGCCACCCAGGCACTGGCCCCTTCCAGGCACATTTCAACACCACCTCTCCCCGAATTTGTCTTCTATTCCACCAGGACACCAGATTCCACAAACCCCACAATATGCCAACAGCACTGATTAGCAGTACTGAACAGCTCATGTAGGGATGAACCAGGACCGCAGGAGGATGTGCAGGAAAGTCATCCACATCAGTCCCAGGCAGGGAGAGAGAGATGTATTCCCTCATTGTTCCCACAGGACAGCTCCCCCAGCACAGCAAGGCCACCAGTGCCAGGGCAGAGCACAGAGCCATTGTTAGTGTCAACATGTTCCCAAGCTCAGCCAAACAAAGAGATAAGCAGCACAGTCGACGAGCTCTGTGCCCCACACAGGAGCTGCTGCTCAACAACCAATATTGCTGTGGCAGGGGCTACACAGAACTGCTGCTGTCTCACTCCACGTTGGCCACCAAAGGCGACTGTGGTGGGTTGACCCTGTCTGGACACCAGGTGCCCACCAAGCCACTTGTGCTGGTTTTGGCTGGGATGGAGTTAATTTCTTCTCGCTCCCTCTTCTCAGCTGGACAGGGGAGAGAAAACGAGACAGAAAATGACTAGTAGGTGGAGATAAGGCAGTTTGCTAAAGCAAAAGGTTGTGTGTGCCCAAGCACAGAGAAGAACCCCAGAGACCCAGTTCTGTACCTCCTGTCAGCGAGTGATGTCCGGCTGCTTCCCAGGGAGGCTGCTCTGGAAGGCAAACACTGTGATAACCCTCCCTGCCTCCTCCTCCTCCTCTTAGCTTGTGTATCAGAGCAGACGTCACAAGGCATGGAACAGCCCTTGGTCAGCCTGGGTCAGCTGTCCTGGACATGTCCCCTCCCCACCTTGCCCACCCCCATCCCCCTGATGGGAAGGGAGGGACAGTACTGGTGCTGTGCCAGCTCTGCTCAGCAGCAGCCTCAGAACTGGGGCGTTACCAGCTCCTTCCCAGCTCCCCGTGCAGAGCACAGCACAGCCAGGGCTCAGCTCCACCTCAGCCAGACCCAGCAGAGGATGTTAGGCTGTTTCACCACACTCCTCAGGTACAAGCTGGAGGTTCCACACCCGCCGCCTTTCCTCTCCTTGCACCATTGGTGCAGCTGTTTCCGAAGTGAAAGCAGGATTAATTTAACCTGGGAATCAAGATCTGCACAGCTGCAATTTGGTTGCCACTACAACAGTTTCAGGCTTCCCTTGGTGGAGCTGCTGAGGCTACAGACAAATTCCTTCCTTTTTAAGCCCCGTGAACGATCATCAAACATGATTGCTAAGGAAGCAACTGTCAAAGTCCTTTCATTTATTTCTGAGTATCACAGCTGTACAGTTTTCATACATACAGCAGGAAATGCACATTGGTTGCACAATGGCATTGGCTGCATTTCCAAGTATAATACAGTAAGTGCAACTCCACTTAAAATGTACATTTATACAACTCCAACAAGTCAAGGATTGCTACTACCTGTGCCAGTATAAAGCTCTGTTTGTCTTCTGTCTCCTTACTCAAGCACTTCCAGGTTAGATGTAAAACACACTCCAACATTTTAAAAGGGCCCTTGTGGTACCTGGCCAGGATGTAAAATATTTGGTGTGTAAAATGTAACCATTAACCTTTCTGTTTTCAAAAATAATAACCCTCTGAGCCCATTGGAAGGTTTGTCATTGAACTCTTATACTGACACTTTTGTAGCAGGAGCCAAATTTCCCCCTCCTTTTGTTTGCTCTTGCACTGCTTTATCAGTGAGAGAGAGGTGACATTTGTAATGTGTTGCAGCTTTATTCAGGGTGGTTAAACCAGTGAACAGTTTTGCTCAGAAGGTAAAGAACATTTCTCATTGAAGGAAACAAAATTACATGGCAGAGACATTTGTCAGCAAAACTTCAATGGCTGCTACCAGCACTAACAAAAAAGAAAACAGAAAGAAAGGAAAGTATTAATGTTCTTTTCAGAAACACCCAGTTTCAACTCTTGTAACCTCTGAATACTTTGGTCCACAGACCATGTTCGTGTTACAGTTCACCAAAGGAAAACCACAACTGCTTACTGCCGTCCCTGGAACAGGAATGGTTCAGTGTCCAACCTCCTTTAAAAATAGACATTGTACAATCCTCTCACCTCAACAAAGGTGACACTGGCAATAAATACACTGGTTTGGTGGGTTTTATTCTTCACTAGGAAAAGTCTCCAAACTACCTATTGTAGGCTCTTTCTTTTTTAGATTTCTCCAAAGCCTTGTCCATAGTTTTCTCGTTTTCTCCTCGACATTTGGGGCAGTACCACTTGCCCTTGGGTTTATGGTTGAGTCCCACGCAGGAGAAGTGAAACCACTCGATGGGACACTCATCGTTGTCACATCCTATCATCTCTCCATAGGAGACCTGGTTGCACAAGCAGTATGTTGGCTCGTTGGGGTCAATGGGCAGGTCTGGGGGAGAAGCTTCCCGCTCTGCCTTAGCCTTGGAGCGTTTCTTCTTCTTGGATGTCTTTGCTTTCTTCTCCTTTGGTGTTCCTGAGGTGATGTCGTCGTGATCGTGGTTGTTGGAGGCATTTTCTCGGTTCTCGTTATTCCTCTGCCTCCTCGACCTCTTGTTGTTGGGCTTTTCAGCCTGGGTGATTGTCTCGTTCTTTGACTTATCCTGGCTGGCTTTGCCACTGTTCCCAGTGGTGTCATTAGCCTCCTGACAGGTCTCAAACAGTTCCACGTGGCTGTCCACCTGCCTCGTTCTGTTCTCAACCAGCTCCACCATCTGACTGACGATCTGGATCTTCTCGTCCCCCAGCTCCTGGCTGCGAATCAGAGCTCTCTGGATGCAGTGCAGCATCCTCCTCTTCTGCACAGCATCTGTCTCCCGTTTGAACTTCTCGTAGTAATCATCCAGGTCCTTCAGGATCTCTGCAAAGAAGGAAGAAAAGCTGTGAACAGTTTTGACAGGGAGAAGGGCGAAACAAAACTTCCTGTGTTTCTCCTTCCGTACAGCAACACTTTTTGTGTGGTGCAAAGCTGACCCAAGACAGACTCCCTGAAGCTCAGGACTCACTGGGTTACTTCAGTAATCCAAGTGGCTCATCACTCCACTGGGTTACTTTAGTTCTGGTTGGTCCTGCAGGAACAGGATGTGCAAATGCTGATTTGGAAGGGGAAGAAAATAAGTGCCCAAATACATATTTTTATGCATGCTGGGAATTCTTCACTTTAGGCTTCTCAGTCACGGAAAAGAATAAACACACACACAGACACCACTAGATGCTCCAAAATGAACTGCAGTGTTAGTGGATGTTTTCTGTACAGCAACATTATCATTTTTATTGATGACAGAGTGGGAGAAAGAGTTGGAGAAAAAGCAAGCACAGATCAAGCAGGTGCTGGGTCACTTGACTCCAAGTTGTGGGTCTGGACCCTGAGCTACAGCAAGTTTCACCCAATATTGCTGAGCTACCTCTGTGAGGCCACAAAAATCCCTGGACTGCAGGACTGGTTTACAATACCCAAGATGTTCAGGTTATTTTCCCCCTATATATTCCCCCGCCAAATGCATTGCTTACTTTTTAAAACACACAAGTATAATCTTCATTACATATTTACTGGAGAGAAGGAGATCAAAAAGTTGGAAGAGAATTATTAAAGGTGATGTGCAACAACTGGAGCAGCCAAAGCTCCCAACTGAAAATGCTGGCACTGAAAATGTGTTAGACCCTGAACTGCACCTCGAGGACTGTTCTAACAGTTTGTGAGCAACAAGAGTGCACAGAAGGTGCTTGGAGTGGTTCTGGAAACCCATTGGTAAACAGATGGTTTTGTGTTTTGTTGACACTCAAATTAGAGAATCCTAGAACCATCAGTGTTGGAGGAGATCTCTAAGATCATCCAGTCCAACCAATAACCTGTCACTGCTGGAACCCCTAAATCAGATCCTCTAGTGCCACATCCAGATGCCTCTTCAACACCTCCAGGGATGGTGACTCTACCACCTCCCTGGGCAATATCCCAGTGCCTGAATACCCTCACAGAGAAAACATTTCTCCTGACATTCAATCTGAACCTCAACTATATCATACGAATCAACAAACCCAAGTGAAAAACAGAGGACACTCAGCACTTCCATATTAAATCCTCGAAAACACAGAATGCTTCTCCTGCATCTCCTTTCCTCTCTGAATTTCCTCCTTCTCACTGCTTGTAACATCCTGCCTTGGAGAAGCAGAGACAGGAAATCTCACCTCAGTTCATCTAACAGACACCAGGATCCCTTTCCCATGCAACTGGAACAACCCAAACTTCTGGGAACTTTGTTAATAGGAGAATGTGATACCTATGCAATACTACCTGTGGTGGAGGTTGTGCCTTGCCTGGGCACAGCCTCTGATCCTGATTGCCAGTGAATATTTCCATGGCAATATCAAGCTTACTTTATATTTCAGAGCTGCAGCCTATGCATCACACAGTGGTTAAGCACAGCCTCGTGAGCTGCTCCTGCAATAAAACCTACCTTACCAAATCAGTGTTTTGATATGTTATTAACCAGCTTAACAGATTTCTTTATTTCCCCTAAGTACAAAAAAAAATCCAAACCAGAATAAAATTATCAAAAAACCCAAGATGCCACTGAAAGATCCCCCAAGAACACAGAATAAGCATTTAGGGAGACTAATCAGTGTCAATTATTTTCCGTATCTGAAATGCAGAAGTTTTGTGCTTTAAGCTTTGTCACATGCCTGATGTCATCAGCTTAGCCCCTCTGGATCAGGCAGGTAGGCACCTTAGATGATATTCCACTTCCCCAGCACCACCCTTTGAAAGGAGGTGTAAAACATACTCATACACACTGTGAGGCTGTTCAGGCACTGGAATACTGCCCAGGAAGGTGGTGCAGTCACCATCCCTGGAGGTGTTGAAGAGGTGTCTGGATCTGACACTGGAGGATCTGGTTTAGGGGTTCCAGCAGTGAATGGTTGGACTGGATGATCTCAAAGGTCTCCCCCAACCCTGATGGTTCTGTGACTGTGAAAACTCCAATCCCAGTACAGCACATTCCCGTTGGCACTGCACGCCCCGACCCAGCGGGAGAAGTAGCTGTTTGCATCGATGTGGAATTCTGTAAAGCGCTGACAGCGCTTAGCATGTCAGACACGGCGCGACAGGGGCAGAGACGCCGCAGGACCAGAGAGGGATGCTCGGTGTCGGCAGCGAGAGGCACATCTGGGCAGCTGTGCCGCGGCTGGGGCTGGACGAGTCCTTCCCCAGGAGCCTGAACGCACGGGAATTCCACGCACCGCGTTCCCTAACGCGGCGGCGGCGCAGACCGGGGCTGGGTGAGCCTTTCCCGAGGATCCCGAGTGCACAGGGACTCCTGGACCCGCGGCACGCACCGGGGCTGGCTCAGCCTTTCTCGAGGAGCCTGAACCCATGGGAATTCCAGCGCATCGTATTCCCAACCGCGGCGGCACAGACCGGGGCTGGCTCAGCTCTTCCCAAGCATCCTGAGCGCACAGGGATCCCTGGAGCCGCGTTCACAGCACAGACCGGGGCTGGGCGAGCCCTTCCCGAGGAGCCTGAATGCTCAGCGATCCCAGTACGCCTCGTTCCCTGCTGCAGTGGCGGCGGGGCCTGTATCATCCCTTCCCGAGGATCCCGAGCGCACTGGGATTCCTGGAATGGCAGCACAGACCGGGGCTGGGCGAGCCTTTCCCGGGAAGCCTGAGCACACAGGGACTTTCCCCTGCCGCGGCGGCGGCGCAGAGCGGGGCGGACTCAGCCCTTTCCCAAGGATCCTGAGCGCAGAGGGA